AGAAAAGCATAGGGTGGTGGAGGGAAGAAAGAAAATGGAAAGGCTCTATTTCCACTGGCAGGGCCAGCCTCTACCAGCAAAGCTGGGATGCCCACGTGGGACGCACGAAATTCAACTTCTGCACTCGGAAAAGGCCAGACGCGGGGAGGAGGGCTGAGAGCGCGCTCAAGGCTGGCACGTTGGGCTTGGGTGAAGAGCTTGGTAAGTCCCTGCCCTGGCTGCTCCGCCCACCCGGGGCATCTCCATGCCTTGGAAACAACTGCATGTCCTGCCGTGTCCTGGCACCAGGGTCCTGGTCAGCCCGGCTGGATGGGTCGACACACGCCAAGCTGTTGGCAGAGCACGGACAGCTCTCATTCTGGGCCTTTCTTATTGTCAGTCCTTTCTAAAGGGTAAAAGTCTTTTGAAGTGATTTGTTAGAGTCTGGCTACTCCCTTCGTTACTGAAGAACTCACATAGGCAAGGGCAGAAAACTATAAATGGGGAGCTAAAGTTCCTGTCTGCCCTCTGGGCACCCCAGACCCCGTGTCCTGGGAGTGCGCTGTCTTTATTTTGCACAGTGTGGGTTGGTGGGGTCGACCCGCCAGACTCTTGGTTGGCATCTCTCATTCACTTGCTGACAGTTAGGTCTGCATGAGGCCTCTCAGGCCTTGCAGGTCCTTGGGCTGGGCTGGGCTGGGCACTGGCATCCCTGGACTATAGGCTACGTCCTATTAGCCAGAGCAAGTCACATGACCCACTGTGGCAAAATGTGCCTAACCTAATCAGGTTGTTGTTTGGAGTGATTTTTATCCTGGTCCCTTTCAATTTTTATCACCCATTGCCCTGAGTTCTGTTGACATTTTGATACCACAGAAAATCATAATCAAAATAAAATTTCATCTCATTTCATAACCTGGGGACAAACACTGCTATTACATGGCCAGATAATGGACAGAGAAGGAAACGGACAGACACGCCAGCAGGTGTGGGCCCCGGTGTTCAGCAGGCATGGCTGCTTGGCTTCGTTAGCCTCGGCTTTTGGAACATCAATGAGACAGGGCCCACTCTGTCGCTCCTTCTACTGTCCTGAAACTGTCAACGGAAAGTGCATCACCCGGCAGGCGTCCACCATGCTAGCAGGCAAAACACACATGCTCCTCACCTCCGGATGCGACATGTAGGCTTGGAAAAGCTCTAACCACTGTAGATGCCCCGAAGTCGGGCACTCTTCTCTTTGCTTTACATGTGGAGAGCCTATTGGGCAGCTACAGTGTAAACATGTGGCAGGTGACAGAGAGTTGGGGACCACAGCTCAGCCTGTCAAACTGGGAGACGTGGGGTGACACTGAACTCCAAAGCTGGAAGAAATTAGCAACTTGGGAGTGCCAGGTCCAGTGAAAACACACATACACTAATCATGAAATCTGTTGATTCACTGTGCAAAAGCGATCGTTAAAGACTCAACATGCTTTAAAAAGAGTTCTAACTACTAAGTGCATTGATTGGGTAATTTTGGAACACCTAAATGTGAATAAATAAATGTGTTCGCTTAGTAAAATCGAGTAAATGTGCAGTACATTTAGTAAAATTAGTAAAGATTTAGTAAATGTGTTCATTTGGCAAAATTAAAGAGAACGAATCATAACTTTGAGATTTGGACACTGTTCTGATGTGCCATCAGCGGTCATGCTGTAATCATTTTGGAGCATGGAGTTGGCATTTCAAGTTAATTCATTTCATTTAGAGTAGGAGATTCGGGGAAAGCGACAACTTTCTTGGGAATCCCCCCCACCATTTCGTGAGAATCAGTTAAAAGCAGAATGTCAGCTTTTCCACCGCAAAACTTCACAAGGAGGAGAAGCTTCTTGTGCCAAGCCCGCCCTAGTAAATTAGTTTCTGTCTTGGCTGGCACCCAGCCTGGGCGGGGCTGCAAATACTTGCCGAGGGCGGCTCTGTGAAACTGGGGTGTCATCAAAATTCCATTCTCCTGCCATGCCACAGATGAAAAAATATTTGAGCTGGAAAGTAAAATGAACAAATATGGAAGCCGAGCCTGGCGCTGGGTCCAAGCCGGAGCTGGGGACAGCCCTTGTGGGCCAGGGCCAGGCTGTGTGGGTGCACCGGCTCCTTCCAGCTGGGAAAGTGATTTTCCTTTCAGAATCTCAACAGATCCTCCCCAGCAGCCTTGGCAAGGATGCATCCTGTGCCCTTGTTCTCATGAATCAGAAACAGAGGCTCAGAGGGGTCATGCTCCTGGTCCAAGATCACAGATCTAGTCAAGGAGCTGAGGTGGGACCCAGTTCTGGGTCTCCAGGCAGCGCAGGCTGGGTAATGTAGAAACAAAAGATGTTTCTTTGGCTCCAGTCCTGGGGGGACCACACTATGTGTAGCCAAAGCCTTAAGTTGCTTCATATGTGGCTTATGGTGGAGTCAAACAGGACCTGAGACTGAGAGCAAAGACACAACAGTCCAGCTGGCTTTCCGGCAGTCTGCTCTTGCGGTAATAAACGCGATGGGGCTGCAAACACCACTGTGAAAATTGACACAGGCTCCAGGGGGTGGCATTCATTCCTCTGAACAACCCATCTTTCCTTAAAGGCCTCTCCCCACAACCCTCCACAGTGAGCCCTCATGGCTCCCATGGTGGGACTGTATGATGGTGAGTGGACAGCCGTGGGAGAGATGGCGGACAGGCCCGTCGTCTTGCTGTGGCCCATGGTGCTCGCTATAAGGAAGCAGCAGCTTCAACAAGACAGGAGTTGCTTCCCTCATGTGCTGCTCTGAGACGTCAACAGTGTTCTGGCTCTGTAGAGCCTGATGCCATGCCATCCCCACGACGTTGTCACTGTCTGAGGGTCCACGGTGGCTTCCCCAACCCAATGAGAATGGGCAGGGCCCAGGGGAGGGCATAGCCTGTCCAACCAGGACTAAGACTGTGGAACCAAAAGGGACCTGTGTCAGATACCAGCAGTCTAGGGACAGCAGGTACATTAACTCCAGACACCCTCCTCATGGTGACAGCTGACCACCATGGGCCATTGCTAGAACCTCCACCTGGTGGGCTGACCACAATGGGCCCCTGCTGGACCGTCCACATGGTGAGCTGACCACGGTGGGTTCCTGCTGGGACCCTTGGCGTGGTGGACTGACCACAGTGGGCTCCTGCTGGCCTGCAGCAGGGGAAGGAGCCATCACACAGCATAAACAACTCCCAGAAGATGCACTTTCGGCTACTGCTCACCTCCCATTGGCCAGCACTTAGTCAAATGGCCCTGCTACTACAGGCAAAGCTTGGAAATGGAACCATCACCCAATAGGAGCCTTTCACCCAGTAGGCCATGTGTGCAGCCATAGCACAGGGGTGTCTACCTCTAAAAGGAAACGCAGGGGAATGGACCAGTCTTCTCTGCCACAGGGCTTGTCTGGATATGGAACACATAAATTTTACCCACACATAATGGTCTGTACTTGATCACATGGCCATCTGTGACTGCAAAGGAATCTGGGAAATACAGTGCTTAGCGTGGACAGCCACGCACCTAGCACAAAAAGCTTCAGTATTCTCACCAGACAGGGAGAATGATCCAGAAACTGAGGTTGAGAGACCAGGGGCCCACAGAAGTGCAGCAGCACCCACGGGTGTAGGCACAGAAAGTCTGGAGCTACTCAGAGTCTCAAAGCACTCACAGGAAAACGTGATGAAAAATGCTAGGATTTCAACATTGTTTTGCACCAAAATAATCTGGATTTAAAAGAGACAGAGATCTTCCATCCATTGGTTTATTCCCCAAATGCCTACAACAGCCATGTTGGAGCTAGGCTGAAGCCAGGAGCCAGAAACTCCATCTGGGACGCCCACATGGGACTCACACACCTAAACCATCACGGCTGCCTCCCAGGGTGAACATTAGTAGGAAGCTGGACTCCCACCAGGCATGCCACACAGCATCCTCACTGCTGCTCCAAATGCCCACCCAGGTTGCCTTCCATGTTCCCACTGCTTTTTTCAAATACCCTTATCTGTTAGTTCTTTGCTGTGCTCAGCCTCCAGGGGTACATTTCTTCTCAGGGTGTGACCTGTGAACCTTGGCTACTGCCTCGTATCCCCCAGGTCACCCCTTGAGACTAACCCTGCCCAGTGTCCCAAAGGTAGAGTGTCTAGGACCTGGCCAGCTGATCATAACCAGCTGGCCATCCTCCTGAAGGGAGAATGGGTTACCCATAATTATCCTCTTCTGCTGATAGTGAAAGTGAGGCTTGAGGGGACAGGTGATACTGAGAGCCCCAGGCCCATGCCCTGCCTGCACTGCTCTGGCTCCTGCTGCTTCCTCACACACTGGATGGTTCCAGAGGTTATCATCTGCACAACTCTAGGATCCTGTCTTTCTTTTCAACAAATCAAAACTGCACAGAGGAGCCTCGTGGGCTCCTGAGAATGCATGTCCTGTCCCCAGCCTTGGGGATTCTACCCCACAGGAGTCAGAACACACCTTGGCAATAAGCTGGTCCAGTCCTCCCCTCATACAGACAGGGGATGCTGAGGCCCTGGGTCACCCAGCAATGACCCCCATGGGATCAGGACTAGAGTCTCCCAGCCTTCAGAGTTGCTGGTGATACATAAATAAATCCTGGCAAGAGAATGTGAGGGGCTGGGCAACGCGGAGACATAAGAGTTGTGCCGCAATCTGATCTAAATGTCCCACCTTCGGGCAGGAAGAGCTGAAGGTGCCTTCAGCTGGATTTTGTGGTGACCTCAAAAATTATGTCCTGCCAGGATCGGTCCCTCCAGGCTGGTAGGGAAAGCAGTGGATCTATGGAATGGGCCCATTATCAATACCGCAGAGGTGTGCCAGGTCTGTGGGCAACCAAGGTAAGATGTCAGGGTCTCAAACTTGCATCCTTTCTCCTCCTGTGAGGCAGAGGCAACTCCCAAAGGACCCTGCTCCCCAGGACTAGAACTCTGGGAAGCGGCAGTCTGCAGGCAGGGATGGTTAGCTGTGTCCTGGGAGGCAGACCCCTCAGGAGGCTACATGGGCCTCGATGCGCCTGTACTGGATGCTGGTGGAGTTCTGCCAGGGGCGGGAGCTCAGGGTGAACCTGCCAAACAGAGAAGGGAGGGGTGAGACAGTGCAAGCCTGAGAGAGGGGAGATGGCAGGGGTCCACCCCGGGCCCTTCCCCAGTCGCATCCTCACTCCCAGCCAGACTCCTCCAACTTCTTGGTGTCAGGTACACTTCTACACTCTCTGGAGCCCAGGGGCTGGCCCATGCTCCCCCATGGGATCCTGTTCCCCTAGAGCCAGCCTGATACACTCCAAGTTGGCTTCCACCTGTCTCTCTGTTCCTTGGTCCCAAAGGCTGGGTCTGGAATCTTCTTCCGAGAAAACCAGCAGCTGGGCAGCTGTCCACTAATGGAGCCCTCAATAGTTAGTCAGACAAGTGGTTGCCCAGCTGATGTTTTTCAGCTGCCCTGGTAGGCAGGTGGGCGAGGCCAGGTTCTGTCCAAAGGGATGTGGTGGCCACCAGCTTAAGGAAGACATCTTCTCCTTGCTCCCCTCTCCTCCTGCAGGAACATGGTGGGTGGGGCCCTTGCGGGCCCCCATCTAGAGTGTCCACTGGCCCACAGAGCACTCTGGCTGGAGGTAGGGCAGCTCAGAGGCTTTCACAACGGACAAGTCCCACGTGGCTTTAGGGGCCAGATTGGTGTGGGGGCAGGAAGCTGTAAGAGTAGTTCCAACTCGGTGCATCTTCTGGAGCTTTCAAGGAGGAGACCAGGCAGTCGGGAGGCGGTGCCTGCACTTACACAGGAGGCAGCCAGAGACTCCTTCCAAGCATGCATCGGACGGAGCACCGGCAGTCCCTTCACCTCCGTCTCCTCGCCCATGTTGTGGACAGCCTGAGGCCTCGGGATGCTGTGAGCTCCCGGCTGCCACTCAGCTGCTCTAATCTCTTACCAAGCCTTCTCCCTGCTTCCTCTGTCCCAGCCGCACTGGGTTCCTTTCTGGTCTGTTGTTAGAATGTTGTGCTTCTCCAAGGTTCTATGGCTTTTAGATTCTGTGGTTTAAGAATCTACCATTGGAGGCCCAGTGCAGTAGTCTAGTGGCTAAAGTCCTCACCTTGCATGTGCTGGGATCCCATATGGGTGCTGGTTCACATCCCGGCTGCTCCACTTCTCACCCAGTTCCCTGCTTATGGCCTGGGAAAGCAGTAGAGGATGGCCCAAAGCCTTGGGACCCTGCACTTGCAGGGGAGACCCAGAAGAAGCTACTGGCTGCTGGCTTCAGATTGGCTCAGCTCTAGCTGTTGGAGCCATTTAGGGAGTAAACCAGCAAATGGAAGATCTTTCTCTCTGTCTCTCCTTCTCTCTGTAAATCTGCCTTTCCAGGAAGAATAAATCTTAACAAACTTCTATTCTAACCTTCCATGATTCCATAATCAAGCAATTCAAGAGTCCCTGTGAGCTGGGCCTTGCAGTCTGTTGTGAAGCTACTGTAGGAAGATGCGAAGTAACTTGAAGAAAGCAGCGTGTGTGTAAAGCCAGCACAGAGCTCACGGGCTCAGGGGGAGGCAGGGAGGCAGGAAGGGAGAGAGGCAGGAGGGGAGAGAGGCAGGAAGGCAGGAAGGATGCTCTTACAAAGCCAGGGAGAACTAAGCTGCTGAGGTGCTATGCCTGGGTTTGATGTGACTGGTTTCCCCCACCCCCGGCCCACGCTGGCCACCCAGTACCGTCTCTTCTGGAACTGCTGGTCTATCTCTGCCAATGACTGGCCTTTTGTCTCAGGAACGAATACGTAGATGAAGCCCAAGCTGAGGACAGCTGTCAGTCCATAGAGCAGGAAGGTCCAGGACAAGCCGATGGCAGCTGGGGAGAGGAGAGTGGGCGTGTGAGTGGGGCCAGGGGCAGGGTCTAGGTCCAGCACTGCAAGTCAGCCCATGGGGACCTGGCACTGCAGCACAGCACATAAAACTGCCACCTGCAACCCCATCATCCCACACAGGCAACTGTTCGAGTCCCAGCTGTTCCACCTTTGATCCAGCTCTCTGCTAAGGTGCCTGGTAAAAGCCGCGGAAGATAACCCAAGTGTTTGGTCTCCTGCACCCACGTGGGAGACCTGGGTGAAGCTCCTGGCTCCTGGCTTCAGCCTGAGCCACTGCTGCTGGAACCACCAAATGGAAGATCTCTCTTTCTGTTCCCCATCTCCCTACAACTCTGAATTGCCAATAAGTAAATAATGCTTTTGAGAGGAGGGTCACCCCACCTGAAGTCCAGACTCTAACCGTTCAACTTGCAGAATGACCAAGATAATCATTTGTAGGAAAGACCATGTGCAATACTCCAAAATCACCCTGAAAATCCCTGAGTGGGTCCTTGGGTGAGCTGGCCGGGGCCTGCCTGGTGTGGTCTCAGTGGTCAGCCCTTAACAAGGGAACAGGTGGACACGCCTATGACCAGTCAGAACACTCCTCTTCAGGTCTTACTAATTCACTGAGAGAAATGTTTCAATTCCGAGAATCTGAAGCTTAAATTTCCTAGGACTGCAGGTGGGACACAGTCATGGCAGGGGAAGTTCTACTACCTACTTGCCCATGGTGTCCCAGGGGTGGCTGTACCTGTGTGGAAGACACTTAGCCACAGTAGGCAATGGCCAATGCCCCCGAGAGTCATGCCCTCGGGCCCTTGTGAATTAGTGTATCTGTCTAGCCCAGCCTCCAGGCACTGTGATTGGCCCTTGGATGGGTCATAAGATCTTGCTGAACCATCTCTGCCAGCTGGGGTGGAAATGAAACCGCCGCATGGGAGGCAGAGTTGAGGGAGTGAGAGATGGCAGCCACGGTGTCGGTGAGTCTGGGGAGGTGGAAGGAACTCAGGGTCAGAACGCGAGGACTTACCGATGAGGTGGAGGAAGGAGAGGCTGATGAGGAGGTTGGTGGCCCAGTTGAAACTGCTGCAGAAGGCAAAGGCTCGGCCCCGGATCTGGGCTGGGTAGATCTCGCTGAGGACAAGCCAGGTCACTAAGATGGAGGGTGGGAGGAGGCTCCTGGGCTCAGGCCGGGCCCTGGGGCCCTACACCAGCCACCCACGACATATAAGCCAGCCCAAGTGTCAGGCTCCTGAGCCCAAGTGCCGCTCTGCTGCTTCCCTAACCATCTGAGGAGTCCCGTAGGCTCCCTCAGGCTTGCTGTGCCCGAGACTGGGGGCCTGCTGAGATGGAACAGTTGCGGGCCAATGGGATGGCTGCTCCCTCCTTCCTTATTACTCTCCTGTGCCTTGAGCCCTCCTGGGGCAGATCCAGGTGTTATGAATCTTAGAGGATTTGAGAGGGTGGGCCTCCTTTGGAGGGAAAAAAAAATGACAGACATAATGCTGGGCCCTGGCCCCAGGAGGCACACAGGCAAGGGTGAAAGTCTTGCAGACTTCAAGGCCCACTACCCAACTTTGGTGCCTTGGTGACCCTGGCTGACCCAGCCCCCCACCACCCTACCAAGCAAAGCAGTAAGCTTTAATGTTACCCGCAGGAAACTTCACTTAGGGGTGGATGCTGCTGAGCAGGCAGCTAAACAACCTCTTAGGAAACCTGCGCCCAATTTCAGAATGCCGGCTTGAGTCCCAGCTGCTCTGCTTCCAAACCAGCTCCCTATCAACCAGTGTGCCTGGGAGGCAGCAGGTGCAACCACATGCGAGGCCCACATGGAGTTCCTGGCCACTGGCCTTGACCTGGCCCAGCCCCAGCTGTTGTAGGCATTCAGGGAGTGAACTAGTGGCTGGAAGAGTGTTCTCTCTCTCTCTCTCTCTTGCTACAATTGTGCATTTTAAATAAGTCTTTAAGAAACAAATGTCAAAGGAAGGAAAAAGAAACCTCACTTACCCGGTCCAAATCCAAACGAGAAGGCGCTCACGAAGGTCATCAGGCAGAACAGCGCCGCCCAGCGGAGCAGTGCGCTCCCTGGGGCGGGGACAGGGGGCGCCAGAGAGGCGGTGCCCACGGCCTGCATGGGCTTGGCTGTGGAGTCCCCAGCACCTGCTCCCAGCTTGGTTTCCTCAATCCTTAGCAGCACTGACTCCCTTTCTGCCTCCTTGGTCCTTGGCAGTGGAGGGGGAGCGGAACCCTGGAGCAGGTCTGAGTCTTCAGGGAGGCTGGTGTGCCTGCTGGCATTGGGCCTGTCCAGGCAGCTTGGGCCCGAGTCCATGGGCACGGCAAAGCTGACAAAACCTATGCCGCTGACCGACAGGGCCATGAGGGCACAGCCAGCGAGCAGCAGGGTCCTGCGGCCGGCACGGTCCACCAGGCCCATGGCAGCAAGGGTCGCTACCACCTTCACCACGCCCAGCCCCACAGAGGCCAACACAGCTGAAGACCCTGCACGGAAGCCGACTGAGTGGAAGATGGTGGAAGCGTAGTATAGCACGTTGGGCTGGCCTGTGAGCTGCTGGAACAGCACCAACCCCAGCCCCACTACGGTCCGGCCTCGCATGTTATCCCGTGCCCTGAAGAGGTCCAGACAGGAGTAGTGAGGCCTCCCCAGCTCCGGCTTGGTGGCCTCCCTTCCTTGGAGTGGGATGAGTGCTTTGTGAGCTGTGGTCTCATTTGTAGCCGCAGCGGGGAGGAAGAGGAGGCTGAGGGACTGTAGGAGAGCGGGTGCCACGGCCCAGCCAAACATGTGCCTCCACCCCCAGGGGGCTCCAGCCAGGGCATAGTTGAGGGCATAGGAGAGCAGGATACCCACGGTGATACCTGCTTCATAGAGAGACACCAGAACCCCCCGCTGCCGCGGCCCCACCAGTTCGGACACATAGATACAGCAGGCCATGGAGGAGAGGGAGATGGCAAAACCCACCGCCGAGCGGCCCAGGACCAGCCAGGCCAGGGAGCGTGCCAGGCCTAGGCTCAGGCTCCCTGCCAGCAGCACCAGGTTGCCTCCAAGGATGGCCTGCTTCCTGCCGTAGCAGTCAATGAAGAAGCCCCCGACCAGCGAGGCGAGCAGAGCGCCTAGGAGCAGACTGCCCACCAGGAGCTCCTGTTCCGCGCAGCTCAGCCCGAAGGCAAGCTGCAGTGGCAGTAGAGCACCCGAGATGACCGCCAGCTCATAGCCAAAGGTCAGGCCGCCCAGCACAGACACGGAGGCACACAGGGGCAGGACGGGTCTGGGACAGGCTGGAAAACAAAAGTGACAGCGGCAGAATTCAGAATGGTTCCTTGTCAGTGTCCTCATCCACCCAGCATCCCATCTGTCCACCCCTCCCTCTGCCTGTCCCTCTATCAACCACTCATCTCTCCATCCATCATGCAACTATACCTATTGAGAGCTGAGCCAGGTCAAAGCCAGGAGCCCAGAATCTAACCTGGGTCTCGCACATGGAAACAGACGCCCAGTTACTGCAGCTTCCCAGGAAAGCTGGGTTAGAAGCGCAGCCAGGACTCAGACCCACGCACCTGCTTCAATATGGGACATGGGTACAACAGTCTTCAGGAATAGATGATTCTGGGTAGAATGAACATTTGCCATTTTTTTTTCTGCCGACCTAAAAATTTTCCTTGTGGGAAGAGTCCCTTTTTCACTGGTAGGGCTGCCACATGTCCTCAGCACCCACACGGAGTATTGGACAGTGGCAAAGCTCTGTAAGCCCCCAGGGAGATCTTGAATCTCAGAGTAGGATCTGTTCCGCCAACGGAGGTGAATTCATTCACGTTTAATGCGATTAAGGGTAAAACTGCTTCTGTCCCTGATCTAGGGGTCTTCCCTTCACTGTCCTCTCAAAATATCTTTTCTCTCCATTTTTGCTTTTGATGGGCCAATGAAGCGTCCTTGGTTCCACTTGGTCCTGCCGATTCGAGTATCACTATCATTTCCGCAGTGACAGAAATTCCTGTGTCTCAGTATAGCATACACAGTCGCTAAGCACTTGTGGATATTTCACGTTGTTCCCACGTAGGTACTTTATTTGAAAGGGAGAGAGATAGAAATATGTACTGTCCATTGATTCAGTCGCCCAGGTGCCGGCAGCACCTGGGAACTCAGTCTCTCATGGGGGTAGAAGGGCCTCAAGTATCTGTATCCTCCCAGGATACACATCAGCAGGAAACTACTTCAGAAGCCGAGCCGGGACTTGAACCCAGGCACTCTGACATGGGATGCCGTCATCACCAGCAGCATCTTAACCCCTGTGCCAAATGCCAGTCCCGCATGTTTCTGGAAGCTTCTAGAATAATCCAGAGCAGCATCTAGCTCAAGAACGCCTGAGATATGTGTTAGATTTACAGAGTGCTTTCTCTAGACCTAGTTCTGCTTTGAGCGCTCAGCTTAATAACTCATTTCATGCTCAGCACAACGCGCAAACCTCTGTGTTATTTACAGATGAGTGAACTGATAAGCCTAGAGGTGCAGATGCCCAAGGTCAAGAGCCGTCTGGGGCTGAATTCAAAGCCAGGCAGCCGGCAACCACAGCTCCCACTGCTCCCCGCTGATTGCGAAACTTGGCACAAGGTGATTTCTCTCCTGAAATTGCTTCTTTCCAAACCTGTTGGGCCATTTTAGTTACAATTTTAGTACATGTGCTACCCACAGGAGCAACACAGGGGCCGTTTTGGTGTGGAGGGAGGAGTTTCAGGACTCATCCTCGCACCTCTGCCTGCCCTTCCTCCCCACACTCCTACCCCGGCATTCTCTGGCAGGTTGGTCTTTCCCTCCTGGCGCTGTCTTCCCTCCGTCAGCCCCACCTCCCTTGGTCCCTGGGTCAAGGGCAAGACGGGATGGAAAGCACAGCATTTGCCTTTTCTTGGGGGTCACCCAACATGACCAAGAGTCCAACCAGGGGTTCAGGTTCTCCAGGAAAACATCCCCAGCAGGCTTGGGCTGCACTGATTTGAGAGAACAACAAAAATGATAGTGAAAGGATGTGGTTGTGGCGACAAGTGTCGCTGACAGAGCACATGCTCCGTGCGCTTCCTGTGCCCTTCTGCCATTCGTCTCCATCATGACCTTAAGGGAAGGGAGTCCTGCCTCCAACAGCCCATTTTACAGATGGGAAAGCCAAGGCACAGTGTATTCTAACAGCCAGGAGGCAACAGGCTTGGGGCTGTGAGGCTGGCCTGCCTGACCCCCAAAGCCCTGTGCTTTGAAGCTTGGCTGCACAGACATTCCAGCCTGAAGGGCCACCTCCTCTTTCCAATAAAAATAAAAGAATAAATCTTAAAAAAAAAAAAAGAAAAGAAAAGAATCCCAGCGTCTCCACTTCCCATCCCATCCAGTTCCCCACTAATACTGTTTGGAAAGCAGGGGAAGATGGCTGGCTCAGGTGCTTGGACCCCTGTCACCCAAGCAGGAGACCCAAACGGAGTTCCAGGCTCTCGGCTTTACTCTGGCCCACACCTGGTTGCTGTGGCTGTTTGAGGAATGAACCAATGCATGGAGGAGCTCTAAGTCAGGGGTGGAGACTACAGCCAGAGTTCCGGGTTTCACCCCAGTTTCTCCTCTTTATAGTTGGTGATCTTGGGGGAACTCACAGGCTCCCCAGGTCAATAATAACTGTTCCTAACACCTCTCTGGGCCAATACCTATTTCACGTCCAGCGCTAGCTCTCACGGGAACACCTAGGGATTCACAAGCACAACTCAAGTCACGCCTCCCACCCACCTCAGCTAAAAGTGCATGTAGCTTTCCCGTCCTTTGCAACAAGGTGTCACCACACCCGCAAAGGCCCCCACAATGACCTGGCCCCTGCTCACCTGTCCGATACTCCTTCGTCCCACTGCCTTGGTCTGGACCATACCTGCTCATTCCTGCCCCAGGACCTTGGCACTGGCTGTTTCTGCCTGCTGGGCACCCTTCCCCCCAGATCTCAGCTAATCGAGACTCTAGCTTGGATGCCTCCTGCCCTCCTTCCTGGAGAACCTCCGCCTGCTAGCCCGGCGCCCTTGCCTTATCAACCTCTGAAATGACCTGATTCATTTGCTTGTTTATCCAGCTCTCAACTGGAATGCCAGCTCCATGAGTGAGAAGATTCTGATTATTTTGTTCACCGCTGAGTCCCCAGCTCCTAAACCAAGAACTGGTGTACAATAGGTGCTTAATAAACAACAGCTGGATCATCCAATCAGGCTTCTGAATCCAGAGAGGAAAGCTGAAGCCCCGGTCCCCTGTGTTAACACACCAGTCTGAGCCCCTCCCGCCGGTCTGGCCTGGGGTCTCCTCAGCCCCTGGCCTGCGCCCCCAGAGACTGGAGTTTTGTGCCTTAAATTCTGGGTTGCCTCCTGGGGCAGGAGAGGTGCCTGGGGCAGCCGCGCCTTTTCTCCAATTCTTCCCGGGAGGAGTCGGGAATGCTTCCCCGCGGTGAAGGCAGGAAGACCTGGCCCTGGGCTGGCGCTCATAAGCGCGGGGACCCAGCCGCACCCACCGGGCGCCACTTCTCTCCAGCAGAACCGAGGGGAAGTGGGTGCCGGCCTCGCATTCCCAGACCCAGGGCCGCTACCCACGGGGCCAGCGCCACTCCATGGCGGATCCTGTCCCGGGCCGTGCGGAGGCCAGGGGTGGCGGGGGCTCCCCGCGGGCAACCCTGAGCGTTCCGGACTTACCCGTGGCACGCATCGTCGGGCCGGAGTCCCCGCCGGGGCCGTGCCACAAACTTTGCTGCCCGCCTCTGCCCTGCGTCCGGATCTCCGCGCCAGCGGCGCCGCTGCCACGTCCGCCGGCCCAGGCCCCCGGTGCCTGGAGGCGGGACGCCAGGAGCGGGGACCGCCCCGCAGGCCCTGGTCTGGCCCGGACCCGCCCGCTACCCTCCCCTGTCCCCGCGGGCCGTTTTGCAGAGCCGTTAACCTCGCCCCAAGCGCGGGATGCCGCACCCTGGTCTCTTCGCGGGGAGCAGACCCCTAGTTCTCCGGTTCCTGGGGTCCAATACTCCTTCGGGCCTCCCCAGCCTGAGTACCCTCGCCTGCGGGCGCCCGCGCTCACACACCCACATCTAACCTGCTTGAGCCGCTCATACACGGTCCAACACATTCAGCCTCCGTTTGTTCCACGTGCCAGGGGCCACGCTAGGCTTGAGGTTGACCAGAGAGCAGGTCAGACGGGTTTTTTGTTTTTTTTTTTTTTCATTCTTGTGGAGGTTTCCTTCTGGAAGAGGTGAGCAGAACGATGCCAAGCAGGCTGTGCTCTGACAGCAGAGGGACAAGGGGGTGGCCTGGGGTGAGGGGCTCAGCTCCAGAACCACAGAAGAGAAGCCAAAGTTGGGGGGGCTTTAGGGCAGACAGGCGAAGGGGGTCCCAGGAGGGGCTGGCAAGGGTGGGCTCACATCAGATCTCGGGAGGCCAGAGTGGGGGAGGTGGGTTTCACTGCAGGTGACTGGAGAAGTTAGGTAAGGATGGTGCAGCGGGTCTCCGGGGAAGGGAAGGAGATCAGAGCTAGAAAGGATCTAGACATCTGACTTGGCCTGGGGCATAGGAGATGTTCAGTGAGCGCCCCGCGGACGAGCGCCCCGCGGACGAGCGCCCCGTGGACAAGCGCCCCGCGGACGTACTTGGGCAGATGGACACGAGCCTGGGCTTCTGCTGTGACTCAGCCAAAACACGTGTGTGTGCAAGCGCAGCACCCACACAGGCACAGGCTTATTCAGCCGCTCAGCTCAGTGTGCACCTATGGCCATTCCACCCCACAGCGTTACCGATGCCACCATGCTCACCCCAGTCCCACAGGTGGAAACACTGCATCATCATGCCAGCAGGGCTGGTGGGTCGTGGACCCAGACAGGCATTTCAGCAAAGAGGCAGCGTCAACCAGCCCTCAGAACAAGGCACTCCAGAACAGCTTGGAAAGGAACAGCAGGCTTACATGATGGACTTGTGACTGCTGTTGAAGGACCACGTTATTGTAAAAATGTAGGCAGAAATGGTGAGGGGTAGTTATGGGGAGGGTGGAAGGGGAACTCCCTGAGCTTATGGAACTGTATCATGAAAAATCAAAATTTAAAAAAACTTAGGATCTTTCTCTCAGCCCACCTTACACCCCTTTGTCTAATTTCTATCTGTTGCATGTATCACTGATTCGATATATGAATATCTTTTTCAAGACAAAAGCAACAATAAAACTCTTCATTAACATTGCAATGCATGGCACCTTTAAGAAAAACATTTGTTAAAATGATACATATTTGGAGCAAGAAACCTAAAAAAACCCAAAAATATCTATATTTTGGTATCTTCCTACACTAGCTTTGATTTCTTCATTTCTTTTCATAAACCTTTACTGAGGTATACAATTAGTAAATGAAATATCGCACATAAAGTGCACAGTTGATCCATTTCACATATGAATATATCTGCCAAGCTGTCATCACTCCAGAATAAGAAATGTCTATTATCACTAATGTGTTATACGTCCAATTTATCCCATCTTCCCCATTAAGACGAAGCTCTGTAAATGTGGATGTTTTCAGTCTCTTTCCTGCTCTTCTGCATCTCTCGTCTTGGGGATCTGGATCAAGGTTTAGAACCACCCCCAGCACACAGCAGTTGCTCTGTCAGCACCCGCTGTTGAAGGAGATTTGCTTTCCGCTCATCTGCCCAAGCAGCCAGCGAATAAGGTCTCCTGAGTTTTGTTTCTCAAACTCTGCCATTAAAAAGAACTTAAATCAGGGGCTGCAGATTCAGATGCCAAGAGGTCCCAGTACCAAACAGCCGTCACACATGATCATAAATGTGAGGGGAACGGGGCATAGGCAGAGTGCTCTGGTGAGGTCTGTGGCAAAGCCAAGGCTGGACAGGCAGAGCTGGAGCCAGCGAGCCACAGCCAGCTGCCTGGGTCGCCTGGGCCGCCTGAGCCGCTGCTGGATCACAGCCATGCCTGCTCATGAACAGGAATTCACACTGACCTTTGTACCGCAGGAGCAGAGTTGAGGGGCTGGCGGTGTGGCACAGTGAGTAAGGTTGCCGCCTGCAGTGCCAGCATCCCATATGGATGCCGGTTTAGGTCCTGGCCACTCTGCTTCTGATCCAGTTCCCTGCTAATGCGTTTGGGAAAGCAGCAAAAGATTGTTAACACAGAGGTTCTGGATGACGCTCTGGGCTCTGGGCTCCTGGCTTTGGATCAGCTCAGCTCTGGCTGTGGTAGTCATTTGGGGAGTGAACCAGCAGATGAAAAACTTCTCCCTCTCTCCCTCTCTTTCCTTCTGTAATTCTGCCTTTCAAATAAATAAGTAAATCTCTCTTTTAAAAAATACAGAGCAGAGTTGAGTTGTAAACAGGAAGAGGCAAAGTCTGAAATACATGCCGCCTGGAAGTTGACTTATCTGAACTAGAGGAAGCTGCCCTCTGCTGTCTGCTCCCCAGCTGCAGGCGGAGGCTGCTGGACCCTGTCCTGACCTTCTGTGTAGGCACGGGCAGCAACTTGAGCCATGCTTGCTGCCTGTCAGGGTCTGCACAGTGGAGTCCAGGCACTCCATCTTAACTGCAGGCTCACAGGTTCACCACCTGCTCCCTGTCTTCCCCTCTCCCCTGCACCGCTGGGATCTGTAGAGTGGAGTGTGGCAATCATTGCTCTAAAGGAACACATACAACTGAGGCAGAGCTCAGCAACTTGTCTCCAGGTAGTTCCTGGGTTTGTTTTGTTTTAATTGAAGATAGGGCCTGGGGCAATGGCTCAACTGGCCAATCCTCCCCTTGCCAGGATCCCATATGGGCGCTGTTCATGTCTCAGCTGCTCCACTTCCCATCCAGCTCCCTGCTTCTGGCCTGGGAAAGCAGTCGAGGATGGCCCAAAGCCTTGGGACCCTGCACCCACATGGGAGACCTGGAAGAGGCTCCTGGCTCCTGTCTTTAGATCATCTCAGTTCCCTCCATTGTGGCCATTTGGGGAGTGAACCAGCAGATGGAAGATGTTTCTCTCTGTCTTTCCTTCTCTCTGTAAATCTGCCTTTCCAATAAAAATAAATCCTTTTTAAAATTGAAGATAGACATCACTTAAGAAAAAAAACAAGAGTGTTGGCAAAAACACCTCTGAAATTGGCTGCATTCCAGAAGTCACCAGGATCCATATTAGACTGAGCACATGGGGAACAGGCAGCCTTGGCAAAGCTTCCAAGTATACTCAGACGTCAGAGAGACCAGGGTGTTGGAAGGAGAGACTTCCGTTCCCCTCTATGTTTGCACCAGTTAGCTGGTGACAATTGTAAAGGAACCCCACACAACCTCAGGAGCATACAATGCTGTTTATCTATTTCTCAGGGGCTATGGGGTTTGCGCACATTTCTGCAGGGTGGCTGCTTCACTCACTTACATACAAATTGGCTATGTCCCACGTATCTATTACCCTGGTGGCCAGGATACTTTGAGTTGCAAGAACCGGAGGTCTATGGCAAAGTGTTGTAAGTGGAAAAGAAACAGATGCTTCATATGTATTAAAAGTTCCTTCAGGCACGGCTGGATCCATGCTAGTGACACCACTAGCACTCTGGAATCCTCTCTCTCCATCAAGGGCCACCTGGCATTCAATTTTAATAAGTACTTGCTAGGAATTGTGTTATAGGGACTATCATATCCAGATGTGAGGATACAATGCAGTGTGCATCTCTACTTCCACATCAAAGATGAACTCCCAATGAAATAGTTAAATATATCTTGACAGTAGGATGCTAGACTCTGCCTTTGTCCATGCCTACAATATCAGGATACATTTAAATGGCAGAATGATAGACTTATGACTGTTTTTGAAGGACCATAATATTGTGACAATATAGGAAAAATCAGTGGGAGGAGGGGAGATGGGAAAACCCAGAGCCTATGGAACTGTATCATTAAATTAATAATAATAATTTTAAAAAGTACTTGCTAAACTAGTGCTGACCCCTTCTGAAACTCAGAGAAATGTGATGGGTTGATGCATCACACAGCATCCCGGGCGCTTGTGGTCCCTTCCCCAGAGCTGAGCCCAGGTCTATCCTCCTCGCTTCATTAATCGAGTCTGAAAATGCCAGCTTGCTCAGTCCTCCAGCTTCTTGCACAGCTCACACAGACATCCAGGCCAGCTGTGGCCAGGATCCTGCAGGAGTTGGTAGAAAGGGGGTTCCAACAAGGGGCTGTCTCCCAAACACAGGGAGGTGTGCAAGGAGTCATGCCTCTCCCCTTCAGCTAGATACCTTTATGCCATCATAGAATAAGGGAGCTCTGGCAGCCACTTTGTGACCACCAGGAAACAGACATAGGCCTGGCATGGCTTGCTGAGGCTGGTGGGTGGATGGATGGACAGAGCCTGGACCCCGGGTCTACCTCTGAAAATCATGAGATAGCAAATGAGTTTACTGTTCATTCTAATTGATTCAATAGGCTAATGAATTACTTACAGCTAAAAATATCAAACTGTACCTATTAATTGTCCCCCAAATTCATCCTATTCTGCTTCCTGTTGTGGCAACATGCCCCCCTCCTTCAAAAGCCCCATTCCTCCCCAAGCTTCCGGCTGAGCCCAGGTTTGCCCTGTCAGATTCCCCCGCCTCCTTTGTGGTGGGGACCGTAAGACCAAACTCTGCCCACGGGATCAAGGTCTGGCCAGTAGGATGTGAGTGGGAACGATGTGTGCCATGCCAGGTCAAGTCCTTCGCTCCCTGGTCCTTACTTATTGTCTGCCCCCCTTCTTCTCACTGAGTGGAGAGGTTGACAGGTGCTACGGGCTCAAAGAAGGAAGCAGTGCTAGTGGGAGAGTATGACTGTCGTTGCCATTACTTGACAGACACTCATGTTTAAGCCACTCTGTTTCAGTCGCTTCGTTACAGTAGCTTATCAATGTCTCCTGCACACAGCAGTTCCCTGGAGGTTTAAGTCACCTGGCCGAGCTGCTGGCCCTTGTCCAGGCCAGCCTTGCTGTGTGTTTGTGCACCTGACCATGCCTCCCAGTGAGCTGAAGCCTTTCCAAGCCTGGGAAAGTCAGTCAGGGCTAAGGTGTAGGGAGGCGGGATATATTTGCACAGAACTGTAAGAAGGCACAAGACTGAAAAGCTGGTTTGGCTGGTGAACCAAATGTTAAAGAAAGATGCTTCCAGAAGCACACGGACTGCAGCAACGCCTGGATCAGCCTGTTTCCTGCAGTGCTTTATAGCAGAAAGCAAGGCAACTGCAAAAAGAAATAAAAACGTAGCAACAAGGAACTGGCCCTGTAGGATGTGCTAGCTCTAGGTGTTCCAATAAGGAAGACTGTCCAAGCAAAATAACACGTTATCATCTCATTTCTGTTGGGGAACCACTTCACAATGACATGTGTTTGTGTGCACATTGTATAAAAACGCCTGGAGGGGCCAGCAAGGGGGCTGTACAGGTAAAGCCGGCATCACATATGGGCACCGTTCCACTTCCAAACCGGCTCGCTGCAAGTGAGCCTGCGAAAACAGCAGAAAACGGCCCAAGTCCCTGGGTCCCTGCCACTTATGTGGGAGGCTAGAAGAACTTCCTGGCTCCTGGCATCAGCCTGGCCTAGCCCTGGCCATTGCTGCCATTTGGGGAATAGATCAGTAGATCGAAGATCTCTCTGTGTCGCTTTCTTTCCCTGTTCCGAAAAGACGCTGCCGCCTGGCGGCAAAGCTTTCCAGGTTTCTCCACAGCGACTCCGGAGAGGAGCCAAAAAAAAAAAAAGTTGTTGTTTTTTTCTCTTTTCCCGAATGTAGCAGAACTTTTCCAGAAAGAGTCGCATAACTGGGAGATAGACACCCACCTTCCCTCCTCCTTCTACCTCTAAGACGCCCAAGGTTTCCGGAAAGAGCCGTGGAGTTGGAAGACCAGCTTCCCGAGACTTGCCGAGCGTTTACGGAGATAGCCGAAGGGCTGGGGGCGGAGTCATAAGAACTGATCTCGACCGGCCCCAGAGAGGAGGAGCCAGAAGGCGGAACTGTTTCCTCGTGGCGGAAGTTTTGGAGGTGGGGTCGCCAGGGTGGCGGAAGACACCGGAGGGTTTTCGGGCCGAAAGGAAGGAAGCAAGCATCGCAGGCATTTCCGGAGGGAGCGGAAGTGCCGGCCGGTGTGTCATGGCGGCGCCCGTCTCGGAGAGTGCCGAGGAACCGGCGGCGGAAGCCGAGGCGCTGGCCGCGGCCCAGGAGCGGAGCCGCCGGTTCCTGAGCGGCCTGGAGCTGGTGAAGCAGGGCGCCGAGGCGCGCGTGTTCCGCGGCCGCTTCCAGGGCCGCGCGGCCGTGGTGAAGCAGCGCTTCCCCAAGGGCTACCGACACCCGGCGCTGGAGGCGCGGCTCGGCCGGCGGCGGACGGTGCAGGAGGCCCGCGCGCTGCTGCGCTGCCGCCGGGCAGGTGAGACGGGCGCCGGCCGGGCCTCGGGGGCCGCGAGGTGGGCACGTCCGGCTCAGGCTCGGTTCGCCGCCTGTGCGGCCATCAGCTCCGAGTCCGTGCGGTTGCTGACCTCGCTGCTGCCTGCGCGGCGAGTGGCAGGTTGCACGACCTCGCTCAGTTATGTGGTCGTCAGAGCGTCCTGTGTGCCACCACGGGCCGGGAGAGGGGAAGTGGCCTTGGCCGAGGTTGCCCGGCTTGTGAGGGCTCGCCCCCTATCAACGTCTGCCTTTCTCCGCACCAGCTGAGGACCCAGCCCATGGCCAGGTGCTGGGCCAGGTGGAGCGCTTGTGGGGCACGAGCTGGTCTGGAGTTACCCGTGTCCTCGAGTTCTCGGTGATGCAGGTTCCGCGCGGCCGGGATCTCGGCTGCCTTGTGTACTGGCCAGTCCCAAAGGATAGCTGGGGGAGGAAGCCTTGGTTGGGGTTCCCACCCTGAGCTGTGCGGTGGTCTCAGGCATGAGCCAGAGAATATTTCAGAGTTTACCATTTCCTGTAGCATTCCGAAGGTTCCCCCCACCTCCAAAATAAGTAGGTAGAGGCTGAGAAATTTGGTCAGTCTTTTAAAATCAAGTCTATGTTTCAAAAAAAAAAAAAAAAGGAATCCAGCCCAGTAAGCACTTTGTTGGTTGCAGGCATATCTGCCCCCGTTGTTTTCTTTGTGGACTATGCATCCAACATCCTGTATATGGAAGAAATCGAAGGCTCAGTGACCGTTCGAGATTATATCCAGGCCACCATGGACGCTGAGAAGGCCCCTGAGAGCCTCTCCGGCTTAGCCAGAACCATGGGGCAGGTTCTGGCTCGGATGCACGACCAAGACCTCATCCACGGGGACCTCACCACCTCCAACATGCTCCTGAAGCCGCCGGTGGAGCAGCTGCGCGTGGTGCTCATAGACTTCGGTCTGAGTTTCGTTTCGGGGCTTCCGGAGGACAAGGGGGTCGACCTGTACGTGCTGGAGAAGGCCTTCCTGAGCACGCACCCCCACACCGAGGCCGTGTTCGACGCTTTCCTCAAGAGCTACTCGGCCTCCTCCCGCAAGGCCGGGCCGGTGCTGCGGAAGCTGGATGAAGTGCGCCTGAGGGGCAGAAAGAGGTCCATGGTCGGGTAGAAGCGCGGGGGCGGCAGCCGCACGCAGCAAAGGCTTTTTTAAAGATGAATTTGACTTGTACAAATAGGTGATAAGACCTAAATAAATATGTTGAGATATTTTTAAGCAGTGTGTGTGATCCTGCTTGTGACGCGTGGTTACCTGCAGCTGACTCTTCCCAAGAGCCTCGATAACCTGTTCCAGGCAGAGCTTTTTTTAAGATGTGTGTTGGAAAGGCAGTTACAGGGAAAAGGAGAGACAGAGATCTTCCATCCGCTGGTTCCCTCCTCAAACGGCTGCAATGGCCGGAGCTGGGCTGATCCAAAGCCAAGAGTTTCTTCCAGGTTTCCCATAAGGATTTGGGGTCCTGAGGACTTAGACTAGCTTCCGCTGCATTCCCAGGCCATGAGCAGGGAGCTAGATGGGAAGTGGTGTGCCCGGACTAGAGTCGGCACCCAGATAGAATGCCAGTCCCAAAGGGGAGGTTTATCTGGCTTTGCCATGCCAGCCCCAGGCCTGGGTGTTGCATGTGTATCTAGGAATGGGCATAAAGACAGCTGCCTCCTTCAGTGGCGTGCCAGCTCCAGTTGCTTGCCAGGGTTGCTCCTAGGAGCCAGTGGTGGTGGCTCCAGTCCTGGGCTCTGACCTCTGTTGGAAACCTGGCCTGTCTTCCTGGCTGTGGCCCCTGTGCCTGAGACGTGAGCCAGTGCATGGCAGTGCACCAGCTGTTTGACTCCAGCTCTCCGCTGCTCAAAAAATTTAAAATCAACCTTGGGCCGGCACTGTGACGTTGCAGACGTAAGCCTCTGCCTACCCTGCCAACATCCCAAAAGGGATGCTCATTCAAGGCGCAGCAACTTCATTTCTGATCCAGCTACCTGCTTATGGCCTGGGAAAGTCCCTGGGCCCTTGCACCTGTGTGGGAGAAACAGAAGAAGCTCCTGGCTTCAGGCCAGCTCAGCTCTGGCCATTGCAGCTATGTGGGCTGTGAACCTATAGTTGAAAGTTGCAGCCTTTCCAATAATAAAAAAAAAAAAATTAAGAAGAATTCCAGTTTGTTTGATTCAGCATATATCCATCAGTGCAAATGCTACGTAACTTCCATTTTCTGTTTTTAAAAAAGAACCACTAATGAAATTGACAGCATTTCAGAACTATCCAGGCCACTTGGACAGAACCCTTGTACACACTGAGACTCTGGGTTGATATGGGTGGCGGGTCCTTGTACCTGGGTGCTGGAACATGTGGAAAGTTGTGATTTCCCCCTTTGTCTCTCCCCTCCCCCCAGGAACAACAAGAAAAAATAGCAAATTTGGAAGCAATGACTTCACTCAATTTTCCCTAAACCCCGATCTCTCACACCCTAATCTGCCATGTAATCATAATTTTAAAAAGAAAATTTATTAAAAAAAAAAAAAACCACCTTGCTCTAGTGGATTGAGCATTCTAGTGGGATCAGGGCCACTTCTGTTTTCTTTCACCACAGTCTGCTCAGCTGCCCTGCCCACGTGTGCCCAGTGGCCAGGAAGGCATGGAAGCGTCCCTCCCTGGTAGGGTGACTGGTAAAGGAGAGAATTCAGTTGCCTCTCGCTGTGTTAGCGCGCTGGGTCTGATGGTTCTAAGGTGGGTACTGTCTTCAGCAGATGGGGAACCTGGCTGGAAGGGAGTCCGCCTGCCCCGGCTGAGCAGGACGAAGCTTTATGAGGCACCCGCTCCCCAGTTCCTGTGCTGATCTTTATGGATGCTGGGCATGACCCATCTCTGTGTTAGGATAATGTGGATGCACTTATGGTATTCCTGAATAACTCTTAAGGGCCAGAGGAATTGGAAATCATTATTATTATTATTTTAGATTTATTTTATAAATCAGAAATACAGAGAGGAGGAAAGACAGAGAAGATCTCATGTCTGTTGATTACTCCGCAACAGTCAGAACTGCGCTGATACAAAGCCAGGAGCCTCTTCCAGGTCTCCCACATGGGTGCAGGGTCCCAAGGCTTTGGGCTGTTCTTGACTGCTTTCCCAGGCCACAAGCAGGGAGCTGGATGGGAAGCGGGGACACCGAGATTAGAACCTGTGCCCATATGGGATCCCGGCATGTGTGAGGCAAGGACTTCAGCCACTAGGCTACTGCACTGGGCCCTAATTTTTTCTTTTTCATAAATTTACTTTTATTAGAAGAGCAGAGTTACAGAGAAAGGAAAGGCAGAAGGCTTCCATCTGAAGGTTTACTCCCCAGATGGCCACTATAGCCAGACCTGAGCTTCCTTCAGGCCTCCCCAGGACCTGGGCCATCCTCCACTGCCAGCAGGGAGCTGGATGTGGAGCAGCCAGGACTTGAACCAGCACCCCTGGCAGTGATTTTTTTCAGTTGATAGGCTCAACTTGACTGAGAAGGCGCATGCTTCAGTTTCTTCATTTGCCCTGTAAGCCTTAATACCTCATGGGACAATTGACTGGTGGATCCGTGCGTGTGGGCATAAGTCAGCAAGTCCCTACCGCACTGTGCCTGGCACTGCCAATCACCTGATGGGTGTCGTGAGTCCCCTTCCTGCAGTGGTGAGTACAGCTATGAAGGAGAACCAGAAACACAAGAGATGGGGGAGGGAGGTTGTGCCCTGCAGAAGGAGGAGCATCCTTGCAGGGCAGCTCCTGGGCTCCGAGCTCCTGGCTTCTGATCAGCGCAGTTCTGGCCATTTCATCCGCTTGGGGAGTGACTCATTGAATGGAACATCTTCCTCTCTGTCTCTCCTTCTTTCTGTACATCTGACTTTTCAAAATAAATAAATAAATCTTTAAAAAAAAGTGCCCGGCGAGTGCCATCCAGGGCACTCAGCTGCTGGGTGGATTTGGGAACACCTGTGTTAGTGAAGGTATGCAGGGTGTAATCTATTGAAGGTAGAAAAGTGAACCCTACTCTTAATCTTGGTTACAGTAAGATTGTTTTTACTGAAGCAGCCTTTCCACTGCAGTTTGCGAATTGACTTTGAAGTGGTTACATTGAAACCTTCACCTTGATCTTTGAGTTGCCTGGTGCTCTCTCACGTTGTTATAGTTGCTGGCCTCACCCTGGTCCTAACCTAGCTGTCTCCTCTGGCCGGGGCTGATACAGGACCCTGTGCTCTACCAGGCGTCTGCCCAGATCTGCTCTTGGGAAGCTAGGCGTCTGTCTGCTGCAGTCCAGGCTCTGTGCCGCCCGGGACTGTGGCTCTGCTTCTCCACCAGAGGTCGCAAGTGACCATCATTGGCTGGGCAAGCCGCTAAAGGGGGAGCTCGCCATCTCCTTTTCTTCTCTTCCCATTCCTCTCCTTTCTCCTCCCTCAGTTTCTTCTCAACTCCCTGCCCCCCTTCATTCCCTCCCTTCTTCTCTCACAGCTTTGAAGTTGCCCTTGAAGTTGCCCCTACGTGAGCGGAGCAGACATTGTATCCACCACTCTCCAGCAATGAACCAGATGTGTCTTACTTTCTTCATTCTGCTCTCTCAATTCTTCACTTGTTCCCTGGCTAGGTCCTGTGTGCAGCTCTGTGCTGGAGGGGACCACCCTGGGCCCCTGTGTCCTCCCCATTCACTACCACCACCACACCCCCCTGAGCTCAGCCAAGCTGCTCTTAAAGCGGCCTGCTTGCTCAATTTCCCGCGTCTTCCCTGGAGGGCCGCTTTCACAGCCAGATCGTGTTAATTCTCAGAAGTGCGATGGCCTCCATCCCACACCATGTTGCTTACAGCGGCAGGGTCCGGGGCTCCTTCCCCAGCCCTCAGAGCCTCTGCGTTGTGCCTGTGAAATGCAGTGACTGTGGCACCCGCCTTAGGGAGCTGCTGTAACTATTTATCCAGCTCAGCTGGTGTGAGGAGCGCAGGTGCTTGTCCAGGTGTTTATTCGCAGAAAGGAAACAGCAGGAGACCTGAGAGGCAGCCCCAGCAGAGCTGTATGCAGCTTTCATGTCCCTTCCGGGATGTCAGCCCTGATGGGCCACCCCTGGAAGGAACAGTGCCGAACCCTGGAGGTATATCGCGGATGGCTCTCGCTGCCTCTGAGGCAGGCCGTCCTTTGGGAAGGGCATATGGGTCCTGTATCCGCGAGCTGAGTAGCCTAGCCCATGTATGGAGTGGACCCCAGTGCCTGGCATCTCAGAACAATGAGATTGTTATTGTTAGAGACTGGCAAATGGGCAATTATAACACAGCATCCTTTGTTCCACTTGTCAGCTGGGGATGGAAGTGCATGGCTGGGCTGTGAACCTGCTTTTCTATCACGTTCCCAGGTGATGCGATACTGCCATTGTGAGCAGGTGCATCACGAGGAAGGTGGGACAGTGATGCGGGGAGGACAAGGCACAGCAGCTATCTGCTGCAAGCACACACCCATTTCACAGAGGCAGGAATCAAGGCTCCGAGACTCCAGGCAGCTGTCCCAGGATTGTAGCCCACAGTGTGGCTTCCAGAGCCTTCATTTGTACAGGTGTTTGTTGGGGGAAAGATTGCTCTATCTTGGGGAAGGCCAGAATAGTCCCTCAGTGGCAAGACAGCGAGGATGACATTGGTGAAAGAGCTTGCTTCTTGGAGAAGGCTTGAGGGCTGTGTGAGCCTACCCCCTGCCCTGATCGCAGTGCCTCCCTCTTGACTGTTTCTGCTTCTCAGTGCCATGGTGGAACTAGAGTCAGCAGCCACCTAGACACCGAGGCCACCTCTCAAGGGAGAGTGGATGGGAGGAAGAGGCAGGGAGAGAAGGGAACAGAGATGAGTTGTCCTCAGTCTTACTGCCCCCCACCCTGCTTCCCACCCAAGTTTCTTTAAAGCCTAAGCCATGGGCCCGGCATGATAGACTAGAGGCTAAATTCTCACCATGTGTGCGCCAGGATTCCGTATAGGCACCGGTTCATGTCCTAGCTGCTCCACTTCCCACCCAGCTCCCTGCTTGTGGTGCAGGAAAGCAGTGGAGGATGGCCTAAAGCCTTGGGACCCTGCACCCACGTGGGCGACCTGGACAGGCTCTATTTCTTGAACTTGGTGCAGTTTCCACGGGTGGGGTCGGGCTGTTTCGTCAGACTTCACACACGTGCATTGGTGTACTTTGCTGTCTGTGTGCCACACTGCCACCACGAGCTCTTGAATATGTGATAGAAGC